ATAGATAGATAGATAGATAGATAGATAGATAGATAGATAGATAGATATGAAAATTGTGAGGTTTTGGGGGAGTGTTTGGGGGGGGGGGGTGGACAGACACCAGTATTGACCAGTTGTCTCATGCTGTTTGAGATCAATACTAGTTCCAGTTATGAGTACTTGTACTCATAAAAGTAATTCTGATACCACAGTATCTAATTCCATTTTACGGCAGTGTGGCATTCACCTATCAGCTGAGCAGCCAGTTGTCTGAGGAGAAGCAATGTCAGCCAAGTGTAGGTAGTTGGTAGTTTACTTTTGTGTTTGTTTGTTTGTTAGTTAAAGTAGCTGTCCTGATTAAAACTCTTTTCACAGTTAGTGACAGTAATGAACTATAAATTTGCTAACTAAATGGCAATAAACACCACAAGAAGAGGACATGTGAGAGGTATTTAAAAGATCAAATGTAACAGAAGTACATTATAATGTACTGCAAAGTATGTTGGGAAAATTGTCAAGAAAAGACAATCTATACTTTTCAACAGAAGCAATTTGACAAATCATCTAAAAGTCATCTGGCAAGAAGTTCCAACAGTTTACTGTTTAGCTGCAAGACATAGCTACAGTTTCTTTATGGCAGAAGAAAGTGAGAGGAAAATGTGCAACTGAACACAAGCTTTCTATTAATCTCTGCTATGTTTATCTTGGTTACATTTTGAGGAGCTAATACGAAACGAAAGCTCCACTGAATTTCAGACACATTTTCAAAGTAATTGCTTTTTCAACCTTTATTTTTACAGGTTAATCCAATTTTAATTGTTCAATTGTTTCAAATGTAATGGCCTTTATTATTACGTATGTCAGTACTCAGTATTGGCAAGTACCGAAATGTAAATGTTAGGGAATTTTTGGTCAAAGTTTATGGATGTTTTTAACTACTATGGCTGAGAATGTTAACTCTGCCCATGAACCATATGTTTGGTTTAGTAGAATGCTGGATGAGGAGCTGAGTGAAGCTGCAACATGCAACTGATAAGCGTATAAAAACAAGCTGCACATGCTGCCCGTGGCCGATTCTTGTGACTGAGCTTTATGCGTGTACTTCCTGTATACCTGTCCTCAAAATCTGTTCTTGCAAGTAAATACCAGTTTAGAATATTATCCTGTTGTTGAGTGTAGCTCCTTTTGAGTAAGTAAGATAAAGCAAGTGTTTTTTTTCTCCAGCAGTAAATACTTGTACTTGATTTGACAATGTATTGGTGCATTCCTAAATGTGAGTTACAGTATTTCTGTCAGCACTGCCGATTAAAGGCAGCTATGTTTATACTTTAATTGAGTTGACTCATTATGTATTTCATCGCATGTTTGTCTCCCCCCTATCTCTTTCAGGTCTCTGTTTGTCAGGAGATGCTGACAGAGTTCAGAAATGCTGTCTCTTGTAAGAAAAATTCCCGCTCCCGTCGCCGTCGACCCCTAACCAGCAGCGGGAGTGGAGTCCTACGTCACCCGTCCCGCCTGGCTCTGGCTGGCCCTCGACCCATTCGTCTGGTTCGAGAGATGCGACTCAGCAATGGGAAACTTTACAGTGGTGCTGGCCCACTGACAGGAGGCCTGGCAGGACTTGCGGGAGGTATGGGAGGAGTACCTGATTTGGGCCCAGGGCCACAGAGGCTCCTTGAGGACTCATTTGGTGCAAATGTCACCAGCAGCACTCCTCCTCCGCTTTCTCTAGCATCAGCTTTAGATGCTCCACCAGCTCCACCCCGCAGCTTCCTGCAGAGCTGCAGCCACATCCGCATCTGCCAGGAGTGTCGACGAATCCAAAGCCTGAGACCAGTCACGCTCACACCTCCCCCACCTCCTCCCCCGTCCTCATCCTCCTCGGCCTCCTCCTGCTCTCGTATACCGCCATCGTTGGTGACGCCAGGTCACCATCATCGCCACAATCTCCATCACCACCATCTTCACTACCACCATGGCTCCATGTCATTGCCTCGCCTACCCCCACCTCCTCCCCCAATCCCAACAGACAGAGCTGACAGTGATGGGGGGACAGCAAGCCCACTGCAGACCAAAAACAAACCAGCAGCTCCGCCCAGGCCACTGCCTCCTGCCAAAACTCCAACACACCCACTGACGGACTTACTCGGGGGGCATGACTGAGCATAAAGACATAAAAAGTGGGCTCACAGATCACAAGCTATTAGAACTTTTCATTTGGCCCAGACAGCTCTGCTGTATATGTCCAAATTGGCCAGAATCTGCAGAGGTAGATGGAAGGAAATACTCTGACCCCATTGCTGGGTTGATTAATGAAATGTAGCCACTTTGGCTTTGTTGCAAACTTTTACACAGGGTTGGGTGGATTAATCACCCTAACTTGGTAGCATTAAGAAAAAAGCAGACAATAAACACCTGTTCTAACCATCTGAAAGTGGTTGGGGTCATTGGGCCAATGGAAGAATGGGAAGTAGCTGTCAGAGGCAGAACACCACCTCTTACCTCGGCTAATCATCACACTCTTAGGAATAAAGACTCAAAGACATGAAGATACAGAGTTTACCAGCACTCTGATGCTTTTCAGTTTAAATACCAAACCAGGTGTTTGTAGAAGAGGAGACTTACACTCAGACATGTGGTAGCAGAGCAGCTGTACAGTTATTCTGGTCTCCTGTCACTCTTTTGGACGTCTATGGACAAATGCTTTTCAACAATGTCACTTAGTACAGACTCCTGCTGACGACCGGTGCTGTGATCTACAAAACACACATAGATGCTCATCTGAAGTGTGCAACACTGTGCTGGGGTAGTTCTATATGTATAGAGCTTACAAACTAAGAAAAAAAAAAAACAACTAAGGCATCATTAACTGTGAAAGGTAAGGACTGGGAATTAACAAAAGGTTGTTATTTTTGTAAAAACTAAATTGAGGAAGCATAGTTAGCCAAACAAAAATTGGTATCTTCTATTAGAATGGTTTCATCTATAGTTAGCTCCCATTATTTAAGGAAAAGGATTTTTGAAAACGGTGGGAGGTACGACTTTTGCCCTCCAAGTCAGTATTTATTGTCTTATATTCTACACGTAAAAGGAAATTGTTTGCAACCAAATTCCTGAACATGTGCATTGTGTTTTTTTAACATGGCTGATTTTCTAACTCGTTTTGCAGCAGTAAAAGTATTATAGCTATGAAGATAAAAAAAATACATGCATTAAACGTCAAATCTATTTGACATAATTTGTCTTTGAGCTAATATATATATATATATATATATATATATATATATATATA